TCCTTGCCGCTTCAAGGAGGTGGGCCGGAAAGGAAGGGAGACGCACACTTGCTCGGTTGCGGAGCCCGAGTGCTGTGCGTCTAGCATGGAACCGCCTGCGGTTGGGAATTTGGTAGTTCCATGCTAGGATGGCTGAAATCAGCTGACTGCTCGATTTGCGCATCCCAGGAAAATGATGCGCAGGGTGTCACGGAGTCGTGAGGGCTGGCGGGTGGGACTTTTGTGTGAATACAACTCTAGAGACTGTGTCATGGCCCCGCGTGGATTGCAGCGCGCCGTGCAGAGACTTTAGGCAAATGGACGTCGTGGGCGGCAGATCTTTTGCCCAAGGATTTGGAGCTGCGTTCGAGTCTTGAGCCCGGGGTTCGTAAAGTGCTCAAGTCAAAGCGTTTGCTGTTGCTTCAGAGGATTGCCGAGGACATTGATTGGCCTGATGCTGGGCTGTTTCAGCAGATCCAGGAAGGCTTTGAGCTGGTAGGGAATCAAGGGCCCTCGGGCGTCTTTGCAACGGAGTTGCGTCCCGCATCTAGTAAAATTCATGAAGCCAGCCTTGTTAGGGAAAGTTCGCTCCGCAGATCTTGACGATGATGCGCAGTTGCTGTGGGACAAGACTATGCAAGAAGTGAGCGAAGGCTTGCTGGAGGGTCCCCTCACAGTGCAGCAAGTCGAAGAGAGATATGGTGGGGCATGGATCCCAGTTCGTCGCTTTGGCGTGTGGCAATCGTCTTCAGGCAAGCAGAAGCTCCGACCAATTGATGATTATTCGGAAAACAAGGTTAATCTAGCTTTTGGTTACGCTGATAAGATTGATCTGAGAGCTTTAGATCAGCTTGTTTGCTCGGTGCGTTTGTGGATGCAGCAAGTCCTTGCTGATGGCAAGGTGGCCATTGAGTTGTCGGATGGTTCGTGCCTGCGTGGGTCCATCCATCCGTGCTGGCGCTCAGAAGAGGGACGGTTGCTCGAGCTCGCCACATTGGACTTGCGTGCAGCTTACAAGCAGTTTCCTCTGTCCCCGAAAAGCCGAGCTTTGTCCGTCTTAGTGTTGAAGAATCCAGTGTCGAAGGAGGTCGCTTGCTTCGAGGCTAAAGCTCTGCCATTCGGGGGCACAGCAAGCGTTGTGCACTTCAACAGAGCCGCAAGGCTGCTGTGGGCCATAGGCCAACACCTGCATGTGTGTTGGCTGAATTTCTTTGACGATTACCCAATCCTGACGCCTAGGGTATTGGCCGGTTCGACAAAGCAAACACTGAAAGCCCTTGTTGATCTGCTTGGCTTTGATTGCTCTTGGGAGAAGTGGCAGGACTTCTCTACTCGCGCCACAATGCTTGGGGTGGAAGTTGACCTTAGTGATGTTGCGTCGGTTGGCGTTAGGATTCGCAATAAGGAAGGCAGGGCCGGCCAAGTTGTCTCCACTGTTGAGGAGCTTCTGCGAAAAGAGAGCGTGCCTGCTCGTGAACTTCTGAGTGTGATGGGACGAATCCAGTTTGCAGATGCCCAAGTTATGGGGCGGACGGGAAGGCTCGCGCTTGCCGAGATTCGTCGGTGGTCTAGAAACCATGTTGACCGCGTTACCGTAGGGCGTGAGTTGATGGAAGCCTTCGGAGTCCTTACCGACCGGCTCTCAAGTGGGACGCCTCGCGTTGTGCCTTGTGAACTGCCGAAGCAGCCAGTGTTGGTTTTCACTGACGGGGCTAGTGAGGATGCGTTGCACACTGTAGGCGGGATCCTAATAAGGCCTGGGTGTGATGCGCGGTTCTTTGCTTGCCATGTGCCATCTGAGCTTGTGAAGGCTTGGGAGGGCTCGCTGAAGCACCTGATAGGGCCGGTTGAAACTTGCGCCGCTCTTGTTGCGAGAGCCGTGTGGCACCAGTTCCTGTCGGGCCAAACATACCTGCATTTCATTGATAACGTAGGCAGCCAGGATAGCTATGTCAAGGGCACCTCGACGAGCGCTATCATTCGCTCCCGCGGGTCGAACCGGAGGGAACCGGAGGGGCGAAAAGAGGGATCCGATAGAATCCCTTGTTTGGGTAGGTTGTCTCTCTCTCTTGCTTGACGTGGGAGGTCACGTGTTGCGTACGAGGGGCAAGTACTTTTGGTAAGTGGTGGTTTGCGGTGATTGTCGCGTGGCAGTGCGAAGTGGCCGGACAATGAGGCATGTTTATGCTTGAAGCTGTGTGGCTGAAGCACAGTGATCTTTGTTTGGCCGGTGTGTAGACCGGGAGCAGAGTGTGGGAGCCGCCCTGATTTTCGATCTCCCGCCCGCCCTTGCCCGATCGGAAATCTGGGCAGGGGCCACCGTTTGTCAGCGACAGGCTGATGGGGGGATACATTTCTGTCAGCGTGCGGCTGATGCATCGTTTGTCAGCTCTTAAGCTGATGTTACATGTTGGCTAAGCAGGGCTTTTAGCCATGCGGTCAGTGTAGATTCTGGCTGTTTCTACCACCACCTTTCAAAAAGAGAGAGAGCGTTGCGTGCAGTGGTCTTGTGCGGGGCTAAGGGTGTCTGTTGTGTTCAGGGTCCGGATTCGGTAGGATCCCTGTTAGTCTCCATTAGTCTCCTATGAGAGGATTGAGTCGAACGGGGCTTCTTGGCCTTGGTTCGCCCGGGTACCGTCAGACTCGAACCCTTCTGACGAGCCGTCTAGAGGTGTCTTCGACGGTATTGTCAAGGAGCTCGCGGCAAAGCGCGACGTGTGTTTATGTCCCATGACAGGCAGGGAACTTTGTGACATAACTTCTCAAATTCCTGAAGGTGTCGCGCGAGGTATATGTAAACTGGGGGAGCACGGCACCTCGTTGCGCCCCCATCAGAAAAGACGTTGCAGTCGCTCTGGAGTTTGAGTTCAAGGGTTTTGCTAAGCGGTCAAAAGATTCTTTGGAAACCGCAGGGTTCGTAGGATATTTTGATTAAGCGAGAGAGGCTGGAGCCGAGCATGGCAAAACCTCTCTGTGCTACGCATGCGCACTCCTCTTTCTCTGTATGCAGTTGCTCAGCGAATGGGAGGGTGGTGGGAGCTGCTGCGCGGCAGCTGAGCTCAGAGTGAGCCCCGCCCGCCCGCCCTACAGTTCAGGAGTGCGCTGACCCGAGTGTCAGAACAGCCTAACCCTGCCGTCGAGCACGGCACCTCGTTGCGCCCCCATCAGAAAAGACGTTGCAGTCGCTCTGGAGTTTGAGTTCAAGGGTTTTGCTAAGCGGTCAAAATCGAGATGTTGTTGAGAAAGTTTCTGCTTCATTGAAACGTGGTGGTCATCGCAGTGCGCGGCAATATTTTTCGCAAGCTCGTCGTCAGCATGTGCTGCACACAGGGAAACAAGTTCCTGCCGACGTGGAGTTGTGCGTGCGCGACATGACCAGAAGTCTCGAGCGTGGCCTGGGCGGCCCTGCTCTGAAAGATGCGTTTCGCCTGGAGTCGCTCGAGCTCCCTCGCCCAGAAGAAGATGTGCCTGTCAGCGCGCGGACGCAGACTACTGTGGTGGTGCTTGGCTGTTGGTTCCTTCTTAGAGAAATCGAAGTTGCGGCTCTGAAGGTGAAGTACTTTGTGGTTGACGAGAAGTCGCAGACTGTGAGTTTAACGTTGCAGTCCGCGGGGTGCACGTTAGGGCATGAAGTGGGATCCGTGAGTGTTGAGCGTCCCTACTCTGCGCTTGACTTGGACACAGCGTTTATAGCAGTTCATGCTAGTGTGTGGCGCGAGTGTCATTGCTCGCCGGAAAGCGGGTTACCGCGGTTCTTGCAGGGTCCCTGCAGTTGTTTTATTCCCACCCTCCCACCTGGGGATGATTGTTCAGCGACCTCAGCTGGATGTTGAAGGCCGGGCGGCAATGAGATCCACACAGTGAAAAAAGGAGAGATTGCGTGAGTGCTGCCAGAGATTCCTGGCTTCTTGCGACTTGTGCGTAACACGGCTAGGGTCCCAGCAAAACTGACACGCTGGGTGACTTGGTGATGCGATGCCATGCGTGCTATTGTCAGGTCATGCCGGCCAACTTGTGCCCTTTCCATGTCGCAAAGGCCTTCGTCAGCCTGCTCCCGCAAGATCCAGAGGCGCCCGCGTTCTCCAACAGCGAGGGCAGCGTCCTGTCCAGCGAGATGCACGCGCGCGTGCAGTAAAGTGGGATCTACAGCGCCACGTCATGTAGGTGAGCGACTGCGCGTGTCTGCGTGAGCTTGTTTGTGTGATTGCGTGACTGCTCGCAGTGTTGTGTGCTCACAGTTGCACCTGCTGGTTAGCAGGCAGTGGGTTGGGCGATAGGCCCAGCATGCCCAGCCAAGTCAGAGTAGGGACATTTTGCTTTTCTGTGAGCGCGATGGATCTTTCGTTGCTGTGGAACACTGGGTTGCTTGCGCTAGCCGCCCGACACCCCCTAGCGCATGCTCCGAACACTCGGCCACCCGTGCGCGCGTTACACACTTGAGCATGTTGCGTTGCGCACTTGAGTGTTTAGTTGTCGAGCTTTCAATCTGTTTGCCTGTGTGCTGCTGAAGTCGGCTTCAAGCAGCTGCCGACGAATTGTTGTGTAATGCACGTGTGCATGTTAGGACAAGTCGGCACGCTATTGTGAGAAATCTTTGCCTACGAGCAGCGTTGTGTGGCTCAGACAGTCAGAGCCCAAAAAGCCGAGTGCGGTGCAAAACATGTCGGCGCTGCGTGGTTAGCGTCAGGGACGTCCGCTTTTACATGTTCGGGCGCTGGTGCTGCCGATTGCTCCGACCGCGACTTCGGTGGCCAGGTCCCCTCCTACGACTACCAATCTGATGGTCGATAAGGCTCCTGTTCGCCCTGCGCCAGTAGATTTTTTTTTCCCCCTATCTTTCGAAACTTGGGCGAGCTTCTAGAGTGTGTACCGCTGTGGAGGATTGGAAAAGTGCGTGCCCATGATTGGTGCCTGCAAAACTTGACTGCGTGATGGCTTTAGCGCCGCTGCATTCACAGCGATTGTGTGCAAGTGCTGTTCTTGAGCTTTGCGCATTTGGTTCAACTTTTGCGTTGTGAGACATGTTGCATGTGCCATGTGTGAGCGATCGCTACACTTTCGCTAGTTTAGTCGAAGTGTTACAGGCGCAAGGTGTGGTCCACTGTTTGGGCGTGCTGCGAAGTGCCGGCGTAAAATCTGCTTGGGATCTGGAGAACAAATCAAAGTCCGAGCTACGATCTTTGTTGGGCGATGTCGCTCTTGATGCGTTGGTGGCGGTCCGTAAGACCCGGCGGACCCCTTCCCGGCCCGATGTTCCCGTGGTGCACCCGTACGCCCGAGGCTCATTACAGCGACTTGGCCTCGGCGACCCGTCCAAGGCTATGATCGTTGACTTGGCCAAAGCTGACAAGGAGTTCCTCGAAGATCGTTTCGCGCGTACTTCACGCGCCCCGCGTGATTCACGCTGGAAGACATGGCTAGCTCTCTGCTCATCTCGAGGATTTCAGCCGTTGCCAGTAACGGTCGAGCTCATAAATGCTGTGGGTTCTTTGTTGAAAGCTGGTCGGTATCGGAGTGCCAGTCAATATTTCGCGATTGCCAAGAGTAAGCACGTGGAGGCAGGGCACCCTTGGTCCCAGGCAATGGATCTGGCTCGGTCACAGGCCGTCCGATCAATTACTCGGGGCATAGGGCCTTCGATGCCAAAGCTGGATCTACATCTTGAGTTGGCTCCGGCGATGCTTGATGAGACGTTGAAGGCTGTTGCAAATCGTTTGCGGATTCCGACAGACCTCCGCTTGCCATTCATGGGCCCAACTGCAGTGGCTGCGTCGTGGTTTTTGTTGCGTGGGATTGAGATTTCCAATGTGCAGTGTAGAGATGTGACATTCCAATGTGAGCTTTACCAAGTGACCCTGCAACTTCCTGTTAGTAAAGTCGACACAGAGGCGAAGGGATGTGCTCGCACGCATTGCTGCGTTTGCCGTGGAGGTCGACAAACACTCTGTGTGTTCCACGCCTTACTTGACATTGTAACCGCCTTGCGAAGCCGCCAGGCTTGGCGTCCTGAAGCGTATCTTTTCGGCTGTGAAGGACTCATGCCAACGGCTCGGCAGGTATCCACGCTTGCCAGATGCTGCGCAGTGGCGCTGGGACAGGCTTCGTTGGATGAGTGGTCCTCAGGCGCTCTGGACCGGTGGGCGCAGCACTCGTTTCGTGTTGCTGGAGCGCAGTTTTTGGCACGGTCTGGAGTCGATGTGGCAGTCATCCAGCTCATCGGAAGGTGGGGCTCTAATGCTATCTTCCGCTATGTTCAAACAGCTGCGTTTGTGCCCGAGCGGGCGGCGTGTGCGGTGGCAAACGCGCTGGGCAATCAGATGTCGCATGAAGGTTCAGCGTGCTCTGCTTCGCGGACACGCACGCCCAGCGACACCAAGGACTTCCGGCAGATGGTCCGCGATCTCGTCAGCGAGTGTACGAAGTCGAAGGATGTCCTGGTGCACAACCCCCGTACTAAGTTTGCGCACAAGCCAAGTTCGTCTGAGAGTGCGTTGGATAGTTCGTGTTGGCTAACAGCGTGCGGCAAGTGGAGGTATGGCATCTCTAGATGTGTGCGAAACGTTGATTTGTTGCCTGGGTACCAGGCTTGCAAGAATTGCTTCGGAAGCGTTCAACTAGACGAGTCTTCGAGTGCTGATGCTTCTGAGGAGTCTGCGTGTGAAAGCTCAGATGGTAGCGCGTAGCGCGGGCAGGGGAGCCCTGGACGTACGTCCAACTCCTCTGCTTGTGTTAGTTTGAGTGGCTGCTTCAGTCTTCGCGTTCAAAGTCCAGCCTTGGTGGAATTGCACTAAGTAAGAACGGCGGACGTACGTCCGTTTGTCTAGCGTGCATGCAATTGCAGCGTGATTTGTGCTTTTAGCGTTCTTGTTTGACCCAATGCTTGCAGGTCATGTTACTTCTCTGAGGCGCGTGGTAGCCGTCCAGAAGTAGGTCGTCGAGTCGCCGGTGTTGAAAGAGAGCCATGGAATATCCAGACAGCTTCGCGGGCCTTGCCGAAGCGCTTGTTGATTCAGGTGTGGATCCCGAGATGCTGATGTGGCTGGAGTCCCTCGATGTAGACAACATTAGTGCAGCGGCACACGCGCTTGAAGCCGGTCGACTGCCGCCCGAGCTGTCTGGTTCAGTGCAAGCGTTGCTAACATTTGCCTTGGGGCCCGATGTGGTCAAGCGTGGTGAAAAGAGCATGAGCGAGGCGCCGCCCGCAAAGTTGAGAAGAACCGATCTTCCTGTAGCCAAGCCAACTGCAGCAGGCTCTTTGGCCAAGGCGTTAGAGTCGGCAAGGCCCTCAGCGCGAGAGGCTACGCTCGCTAGCTTCAAGCGTGATGTGTGGGCGCCCAGCAACCAGAAACCGCAGGCCTCTCGGTGGCGGACTTGGTCAAAGGTGTGTGACGCCTGGGGAATTCCGGCTTTGCCGCTATCGCGGGACGGAATCGAAAAGGTGGCGGCCTCCTTCAAGGCAGGAGGGTATAGATCAGCGCGCCAGTACTTTGCCAGGGCTCGCAGAGAGCATGTGCTTCAGATGAAAGCAGAAGTGCCGCCAGATGTGCTGCTGTGCATGAGAGATGCTCTTCGTTCTCTTGAGCGTGGAATAGGTGGTCCTGCGCTTAAGGACGCATTCCGTTTTGAAGAGGTGGTGCTGCCCAGCCCCTTCGAGGAAATTCCGAGTACCCGTCGACAGGCCGTGTGCATGTTAGTGCTGGGATGCTGGTTCCTGCTTAGAGAGATCGAGATCGCAGCGTTGCAGAGCAAGCACTTGACTGTTGATTGCGAGCGCATGGAGGTGACCCTCACACTAGCAGCAAGTAAGTGTGACCAGCAAGGCAACCTTGTTTTGCGAAAACATGGATGTTATTGCGACCACGTTCCTGCAAGAATGTGCCCGTACCACAATGCTGTGGCTTTCGAGAAGATTCGCCCGAAGAATTTGGAAGCTCCGCTTTTTCTCAGCTCTCGCGGTCATGAGTTGTCTAAACATGAGACCATCCAGTTGATCCGCAGAACACTGTCGGCGTCGCCATTCGCTATGAAGCGTGCAGGTGCTCAGGGCCAGGCGATGCTTGAGCGTTTCAATGGCCACGTCCTTCGAGTTTCGGGTGCACAGTTTTTGGCCAGACGCCTCGTGCCTCTGCCTACCATCATGTTGTTGGGGCGGTGGGGCAGCCGCAGTGTCGAGAGATACGTGCAGGAGGCAGCCCTGGAGACATTCTCCTTGGATCAGATCTTTGACCCCTCGGTGCATGTCGCCGAGCCAGCGAAGAAGAAGCGGGATCAGTTGAACTGCGAGGCTGTTGGAGACTCTCTGGCAGCTCTGACTGAGAAGCTCGAAATCTTGGCAGCTCGCGTGGAAGCATTGCAAGAGAGGCCGCCGCTCGTGGTGGGCAAGAAAGCCCATGCGCGAGACCCTCATGAACTCGACAAGCTGCCAGTCACATGGAGGACAAGGTGTGGCCTGTGGCAGTATGGTTGTGCTGCGTTCACGAGAGCGAGCGAAGCCCCTGTGGCCACACGCTGTCGCCGCTGCTTTCCAGAATGTGCCGAGGATGGTGAGATTGACAGCAACCGAGAAGAGTCAGGCTCCAACACTTCGTCAGACTCGAGCTCGTCAGACTCGGAGACAGACTGAGATAGTGCGAATAACTTGTACATTGTGTTGAGATGTATTGCGCCGCACGCGCGCTTGCGCCGCACGTGCGCCAGCGCCGCACGAGCGCTGTGGGGAATGAGAACTTATTTGCGCCGCTCGTGCGTCATATCTTATTGCGCCGCACGTGCGCAGCGAGTGTGCGGATTGGGGACAGCAGAAAGGGTGTCGTGAAATGCTGCTTCCAGCCGAGCACGATCATGGTCATGGTGTGGACAGGAACCAGTGGTTGTTGTAGCTCCGGATACCTTGATTTGCTTTACATTTTGCCAGCGCTTTGCTTGAAGGATCCGTTTCTGTAGCGTTGTGCCCCAGCAGTGTTTCCGTTCCGCTGAATTTTGTGTAAAGTCACAGGCGATGGCGGTCGTGCATGCGTCCTTCCAACAAGCGATGGAGCAAGCGGGCATCCCTAGTGACATCCAGAAGTACATTGTCAGCCGCGACATTACATCAGTTGAGGTGATGGCGTCCATAGCCTTCAAGGTGGAGGAGGTGGACGAAATTTTGGCAAAGCCGCTCGAGTCGGAGTTTGAGCTCCCAGGTGGGGAAAAGATTCTGCTGTCAAAGCTTGAGTTCCCCATTGCGAAGGCCAAGCTTCGATACTTGTGGCGCAAATGCTTCAAGGATTGCAGCCTTGGCGAAGCACCAACGGCGCCGACACTGCCGGCATCCACACCAGCGGCTTCGGTGACTAAGTCTTCGTCCAAAGAGCTTCCCAGTGGTTACTGGCAGCAGCAAGTCGCAAAGTTTGAAGCTGTCAAGATCGGAGACGAGACCCGAAAGTTTCCGCAAGAGAAGCTGATCGGTGCAGAGACAGTAGTTGCTCGCGTGGTGCACGAGATGCGCGCAGAGAGTCACACAGCTATTGGGCTTCACGAGGTGGTCCAGGCTCGTTACTTTGAATCGTCCGGGAACCCCAACCCCCTATGCGTTGCGAAGAAGAAGCAGAAGGCCCAGGGTGCGATTTTGACCCTCAACTCTGACTATCAGATTGAGACCGAAGCAGATGCCCCGTGGCACCCGAAAAGCGTGCTCTCGTTCGTGGACTGCTTGGACTCCATTCGTGTCCTGATGATCTTTGTTGAAATGGGTAGCGAGCCGGCTGTCTCGAAGTACATTGATTGGTTTGAGAAGCAAGTGCGGTCAAGGAGAAGCAAACTGGAGCAGTTGAGGTTGTACTGGGAAGCATGTGCGTGGCGGATTGCTCTTGCTTTGAGGTCCAAGAGAACTTTCAAGTCGATCACGGAAGAGATCATCCTGGACAACCAAGCGCTCCAGGACGCTGTCTCCAGGGACGTCGTGATCTTAGACCGTGCTGGGCGTCAACGATTCCGCTATGACCAGCAGGACGTCGACCGCAACGGCAAAGGGAAAGGCAAGACTAAGACGAAGACTCGCGGTGGCAAGGGTTATTGGGACGATCGCCGATGGGAGCGACGGAATGATAGCTGGCGGCCGGGCCCCTACGCCTCCAACTACCAGACCCCATCGTGGTCTTCGTGGCACGGTTCCTCGTGATCATCCTGGCAGCAGAAGAGCCACCAGTACGGGCAGGAGGACAAGAACTCGCAAAGGGAGTAGGGACAGCGCGGGCCGTTCGACAAAGATGTTGAATCGGACGGACCCGACACCGATGCCAGCTTATCAACAGTCAGATTAGTTCCGGCTGTCGATGTGCAGCCGACCGGGCATGGGCACAAGCGGAAGCAAGAGGATCCGCGAGGACCCCTCCCTCGAAAATTCCGCAGTTGCATGCCACGCGAGACTGAGTCCGTCGACGCAATACTGTTGAGCTTTTTCGATGGCATTGGCACGGCTGCGTTGGTTTTCCAGCAGATCCTTGAGGAGAAATCCTGGAAGGGGCACATGATATTGTGGGAGTCTGACGAGGACCTAGCAGCGTTGACAAAGGAGCACTTTCCGAAGGCAGATCACAGGGGTGATGTTGACAACGAGCGTGTTGCGGATCTGATTGAGCGCTTGGACGCTATCGACCCGGGACGCAAGGCTACTGTCATCATCGCGGGCGGTCCTCCCTGCCATGATTATAGTAGGATTCGTTCTTCCGCTCCAGGTGCTCAGGGTTTGGAAGGCTCGAAATTCGTTCGCTTTGCCGAGCTGGTCAAAGAGCTGGAGAGGAGTTGGGGAAGGCCCCAAGCAGTGTTGATCGTGGAAAATGTCCTCCCGCAGAACAAGGCCGACATCAGGGCGTTCGAGAAGGCTTTGGCCGCGCAGGCAGTGATGCACGACTCTAGCGACTTCGGGATCATTTCGCGACCAAGAGTGTGGTGGACACGCGTTCCGTGGCAGCAAGTCAGTCATCGCTCTGATTGCCCTGCCAAACTGCGTTGGTCAACGCACCAGGGAGTTCCTCGCGTCACCTTTGCAGTCCATCCGGACAAGATTGATGATTTCGACTTGGGGGGCCTGAAGTGGCCTAGCGTTTTGCTGGACCGCGTTGGTGTGTTGCCTTGCTTGACAACGCCGTCCGAGAGCCCAGAAGGTCGGCCTGCGCCGCGAAGCAGCAAAGGCAAGGTCGATAGCCAAACTCAGGCACGTTGGCTACAAGACAATCGCAGTTATGCTCCCTGGCATTACCAGGATAAAAACATGTTCACGGACAAGTCGGGTGCCTTTCGTCTAGCCACAGCGGAAGTGAAGGAGCAGTTGCACCATCTTCCGTGCGGTTGGACAAGAAAGCTGCGCGACAAGGCCCGCCACCGCGCACTTGCGAACGGCTGGCATCTGCGAGCGGCCAAGTTGTTCTTTCTCTTCGGCTTGTTGTCAACCGAGGCTGGGGCATTGCGTCCACAACCAAACCCATTGGGAAGCGATGCCATTGAGTGCATGGTGCGTATTTGGGAGTCGGCGCCGCTCCTCAACGGTCCAGGTGTTCCTACGTTGGCTGATGCGGATGATCTCTCTGACATCGTTGACCCGTATGAGCATTGGGCAGCTTCTCAGCAGTGTCGGCATTCAGCGCAGCAGGATCCGCGAATCGAGCCAGGGCTTCTGCAATGGCTCCCTGTGTGGCGACACTTCCGCAACGTGTTGCCTGAGATGCGACGGGCAGTGACCCGGGCCGTGGAAGAGCTTGTTGCGGACCGGGAGGAAGAGACAGCGGCGTGGTTCCGACAGTGTCCTCCGCACATTCAGAAGGCATATTACTCTCAGTCAGGTAGGGCTTCTGTGCAAGTACCAGTGATTCGGGAACTTGCTACGCGCCTTGGTTGGAAAGACATGACTATCTTCGAAGAAATGGAGCGCGGCTTCCCCATGTTGGGCATGATTAGCTCGGGACTTGGTTGGAGGCTGCGTCATGACGGGCGCTATGATAACCCGGTGCCAGTCAAGGATTTCTTCCAGGAGAACTTTGCCTTCGTAACCTCCCGCTTACGAAGGGCACGCGTCGACAAGGACTGGGAGGCCATGGCCGACGAGATCGCAGCGGATGTGAAGTGCGGTCGCATGGAGGGGCCATTTGCCATGCCTGAGTGTTGGGGCGTTAAGGGTGTCGCCTTGTCAAAGTACGAGCACACAGCAGCCTTGCTTTCTGGTCCTCACGAGCATGTCCCCTGTTGCTTTGCGTTTGCCGTGCATCAGATTGGTTCGGATGGGCAGCCCAAAGTGCGCCGAGCCGAAGACTGGCGTAGCTCGGGGGCGAATGCGACCGTGGGGGTGCCGGATTCACCGGCGTACCATGATATCACCGCGTTTGTGGAGCTGGCCAGAGCGATCAGGAAGAATAACAGCCCAGCAGATGGCGCAGTGCAGCTGTGGGGTGTGGACCACGAGGCGGCGTACAGACAGTTTCCAGTAAGCGAGCTGAATCACACGTGGGTCATCCTTTCTACACCTTCGGGCCCAACTCTGTGGAGGCACAATGTGCTTATGTTTGGGAGCACAGCGTCAGTGTGGAGCTACTGCAGAATAGCGGACTTGCTGGCGTGGCTATCAAGGGCTCTGCTATTGGTGCCACTCTTGCATTTCGTGGATGATTTTGGATCCGACGAGCCGGCTGACACGGTCATGTCGGCCTATGAGGAGACGCTTGCAACTTGTCGAGCGCTGGGCTTCAAGTTCAAAGAGGCCAAGGCCCAGCCGCCTGCAAAACGGCATAAGCTCCTCGGCGTTTCAGCTGCTTTCGAAAACGACAGGGCTGTGATCGAATGTGCCGATGACCGGAGACAACGGCTGGACTCGATGTTGCTCCAGATCCTCCTCGAGGACCAGCTCAAGCCTCGCGAGGCCTCTGCCATAGCGGGAAAGCTTCAGTTCATTGCGCAGTCCATGTTTGGCAAAGCGAGCATGGCAGCGATTCGTCCATTCCACCAGAGAGCTCAGGCGTCTGCTTTCAGAACCCAGCAGCAAGGTTGGAAATTAAACTCGGCACTAAGGTCAGCGATTGCATACCTCAGGTATCGGTTAGCGCACGGTGAGCCGCGGATCGTCCAGTTTGATGTGCGGCATAGATCGGTGATCTACGCGGATGCCTTCTTCAACCTCCATGGCAAGAGCTACAAAGTGTCGGAGGCTGACAACATCCCAGACTGGGGACGGGAGAGCCCGGCTTCCTTCTTGAACGGCGTGGGCTTCGTTGTTTGTCTTGGTGATGTGACCCTTTACGCGTATGGCATCGTCCCCTATTGGTTTGTAAGATACTTCACGAGTCGGCGAGCCTTTATCTATATGTTGGAAATTTTGGGACAAGTGTTGCCGCTCATCGCCTTAGAGTCGCGACTGCACCGGCACTGCGTGTTGTTCGTGGACAATGAGCCAGCAAAGCAGGCTCTCATGAAAGGCTACGGGAAAGACGATTGCATCAACCGGCTTGTGCAGACCGCGTGGGTCTTCATCGAGAAGAAGAAACTCCAGCCCGAGTGGCAACGAGTGTGCAGCTCTGCAAATGTTTCCGACTCCGTCAGCAGAGGCAACTTTGACTTGGCGGAAAGCATGGGTTGGAAGCGCTTCCACTTCAACTG